TATTTAAAATAAACCATATATAATATATATAATATTAAAAATTTAAGATATGATAATCATCATTATGATGATGGTTATCATGTCTTAAAACTTATGACTCACACAGTAGTTAAAAACTATATAAGTATATATATATATATCAATACTTTAAAATTTAAAATATATTTATATATTTATATTTATATATATATTTATATTTATATATATATATATATATATATATATATATATATATATATATATATATATATATATATATATATATATATATATATATATATATATTTATGTGTTTAATTTTAGGGATTTCAACTCTGAAGATGCTTCAAAGGTTTTTATTATGATTCTTTTTTCTTATTATTTTACAAAACTTGTATATGAAAATACTATATGTATTTTGACCTTTAAAATAGTTTAATGTGATTATAAAACAATGCAATTTAAATGACTTCTTAGTTTAAGTTGTTTTGGTATATTTCAGAAGTTCAAAATATTCGCGATGAAAGTAGTAGCAAAACTAAAAGCAAAACAATCTATTTTCACTGTAAAAAGTTTACTTTGCTGTAGTAGCCTAATTAAAATAACTATTGTTGACATACTTACATTGAAATAAATCTGTAAATGTTTTCATTGATTCCTGAAAAAATGGTTGCTCCATCTATAACTCAAGAAAGTAAGTCAAAATTTTAAATTAGGAATACTGTAGCACAAATTTTTTTGATTTTAATATTTCTATTTATTGAAACCAAAGACTTTGGTCCAAACACTTTGGCAAAGTGTAATGATCCACCAAACACTGTAGCAAAATGTAATGATCCACCCCTTATTTTTCTTTGTTGTCACTTAAGTTAAGTTTACTTTTAATTTTAGTATCAAAATTAAATCGTGCCAAAAAAAAATTTTAACAAAGAGACCCAATTAATTAAAAATTAATAATAGTAGAATAAGTAGAATTTAGATATTAATATACTAATATAATAATTAACTGTAAAATTTAATTTAAAATAAACCATATATAATATATATAATATTAAAAATTATAATATATATTAAAGATTAACCATATATTACATGATAATCATCATTATAATGATGATTTTTATGTCTTAAAACTTATGACTCACACAGTAGTTAAAAACTATATAAGTATATATATATATATATATATATATCAATACAGTTATCACATATCATATATAGTTATAGTCTTATCTGCAAGAAGCGCCTTTTGAAACAATCCAAATGCTAAACTGCCTTCGCTCTTGTTTCAGCCTTAAAAATTAAAAGAGTTTGGCCATAATCCTAATTACTTATGACAAACTCACACAGTTATAACAAACTTCTGTTTGTTATAACTGTGTGAGTTTGAATCTCTACATACTTTATTTTCTAGTTCTTAATCTTCTCAAAAACAAAAATCAGTTTATAGAGATTTTTGTTTAAATGAATTAATAAAAATTACTTTTACTTCAAAGCTTTTGCCTTTTTTACCCAGCCCTGTGCCTGTACCCTATACCATGTCTGTGGCTGTGCCCTATACCACGTCTAGTGCCTATATCCTGCTTTCAAGATGTAAAAAGGCATTTTCAAATTATTAAATTATGCTTATTGTGTTTTGTGTAATGTAAAAAATAATGATAACAAAAAATACCAAGAGTATTTGTTGTTCCTGTCAAATAAGCTGCTAATCCTTTTCCTTCACTAGTTAGAGCACGTATCTAAACAAAATGGCTGCTTATATATCTAATCAAGTTACTTTATGTAAGCTGAGGACATTTTTTTTTATTTTTTAGCATAAAACTAATATTAAAATAATTAACAAACAGTTACAAATAACAAGCAAAAAGTTAAAATACTTTAAATTAAACAGTTATTTTATTAATTGTTAATTTATTATTATACAAAACTGAAAAAATTGTTGGAATATCTCAATATCTCAAAAGGTAATTATATTTTAGTTTTATGCTTGTTAATAATTGAAAAATTTTTTCTTAAATTTAATTAAACTCTTCCCTAAATTTAAGTTCCAGTTTCAGGAAAAGATTATAAAACAAAGCAAGGGCCATTTTGAAACTAGCAGACTTTGAAACATCCAAATAGATAAGAAAGAGAAAGCAAAAGTTGCAATAAAAATATCTAATGCAAAAAATATAACAACTGGCCATTTGGATGATTGTTATATTAATCAAACTAAAGAAAAAAAAAACTTCTTTAATTATGTCATCAAATTTTATCATATATTACACTTTATAAAAGTGCATTGCAAGGGTTGTTCTAACAAGTGGTAAAAAGGTTTAAGTTTAAGGGGTAAACAGATTCTATCTGTTAACAAGCCTTCTTCTTGCACCCCTTCTTCATCTTTTAGGCAGATGTATTTATTATAAATTGTTTCCGGTTCAGGATGTTGAATGCTGTATCTCCTTGACTCAATGCATGGGTTTTGCTTAATTCTATGTTTTTATGACAACTCATTCTATTATTTCCTAATGAAAATACAGTTCTATAATTCAGTTTTATGGTTCTATAATTCAGTTTTATTAACTTTGTAAAAAAAAAACACTTAAGGATTAGGACAAAAAACTCTTTTATTGCCCTCACTAACTTTCCCTTTAAAGTACAGCATTTGAAGTGGTAATAGGAAACTGTTGCCTGTCAATAACACTACACCTACCAATAAGTTATTTATAGCAAATTTTGTGAATGCAATATTTTATTTGTTTTCTCCCCAGGAAATTTTTGAAGTTAAAATCAAAAAGAAACTGCAAGCCTCAAGCTGTTACAGATGGAAGAACAGATTAAAGTCTGGCTGCCTGTTCTAACCAATCCAAAAAAGAAGACTTTTTGTCAAAATGTGAATTCTTTTTTACAATTATTTTAAAAATATCATTAGAAGAAAAAAATTATTCTAAAAAGTTCCAAGACCTGAAATGAAATTCCGTAACATTTCCATGATTTCCATGACCAGTAGCAACCCTGATTGTATATATTTTATAAAAATTCTTTACAAATTTTGTTAAAAACTAGAAATTAATCTACGTGATCTTCAATAATAGGGTTAAAAGCAAGATTTTTAACCAATCACTCGGTGGCATATAAATTTTTTTTAAATTTCTGGAAAACATCATGAGCTCTCTAACTATTATCCAATCAGTCTTCTATCTGTTGTTAGCAATGTCTTTGAGTAATTGATCATTCTAATCCCATCTTGAGTCAAATAACTTACTGTCAGACAATCGATTTTTGGATATATCTAAAGCTTTCAATAAAGTTTGGTGTGGTGTTATAAAGTTCTGCTTGCTTCATGTGGTGTATCTGGAAAAGATTTTGAAATTATCAAATCATTTTTTCTTCTTCTTTTCCAGTAACTTTAAGGGTAGCTAAAAGTTCAATCCTTGCTTTTGTTTTGTATCCTATCTTTATTGTCGACCTCATAACCTTAAATCTAAAGGTGGCTTTATTTGGTGATGATTTCACTTTATACTCCAGCCTTGACAAAAAGTCTTCTCTTTTCAATGGCTAAAAACAGGCAATTGATCATAAATTATATCTCAGTTCTGTAACAAACTGTTTGAAGTGGCTTGGGAATTTTAAATTTCATTTAATTTCCAACAAAACTCGACAAAGTTCTCAAATTTCTCATTTCTCATCTGCTAAGCTTGAGCCTCTTTTCCATGATCATAAAGTTGCATCTCTTTCTTACAAATACTAGGAGATATCATCTCAAGCTCCATCAACTAAAACTTGTTCTTGTTTGACTCGTAATTCAGCAAAGCCTAATCTTTTTACTGTATCAGCCCCTGCATGTTCTAAAAACTTTTATTTGTCTTGTTTTTTTCTGCACTTTAACTCTCTCCCAACTTCATGTTTTCTGACTCATACAACCTTTAACTTTTGAAGTCTTTTGTCAACCTGCTTGCTATATAATTCTACTATTTTTTCAGTTTCAAGTAACAATTCACTTTCAATTTTTAAAACCTTCTGTCAACACTTTTTATTTTATTTTATTTGCTATATAAAAAGCTATTCCTGATAAAAATATATATAATAAAGACGATCTTGAAGATTATAAAAACATAATGAAAGAAACAGATGCTATTTCTTCTAGTAAATACCCAGGAAAACCTAGATCATCTAGAAGTGAAAAATATAAGGAGATAATAAAACCTATTTGGGAAGAGATAACTGGAAAATCTGGAAAAGGAGTAATAATTCTTCCTAGTGATCCAGATGCACTAACTGAAATGCTTACATTACGTATAGCTGCGTGGAAAGCAGGAAATACTGGTACTAGAAATGAAGCTGTTGCAATTTCTGATGAATTAAAACAACTGTGTAATCAATGCTGAAGAGTATAAAGCAATACAGAATTTGTTTTATGGAGATTTATGGAGATCCGAAGGATTGAGATAAAAATAAATTAAAAAAATATGTATAGTAAATAAAATGTTAATTGTACAGAACAAGAGATATATGAAGAAACATGCTATTGGTGGAAGTGGAATATTTGATAGCATTAAAAATTTATTTAAATGAGTAGCAGCGTCAAATGTAACAAAAGTATCATCTGCTATGCTAAATAGATTAGCTGCTAGTGACTTAGGAAAAACTCCAATAACTGCTGCAAAGTCAGCAGGAAAAGAACTTGCTACTACTGCAAATCGGCTGCTAAAGATGTTGCGATAGACAAAGGAAAACAATTAATTCAAAAAGCATCAAATAAAACAATTTCACCTAAAAGTAAAGAAATACTTTCAAATTTGATTAAATCTGGATCTGATGAAGTAACAAATATCAATAAATGATGAGATCAGCAATAAATTCTAAATCTGAAAGATCCATGCTTCGTACAAAGATAATTTCAAATGCGAATGCAATTAGAATAGAAGATTTAGTTAAAAAAGGATGTGGATTAAGATTAGCGTAGATCCATATCTAGTAGCAAATGACATATTTTTTTATATTAGAAAATGATATAAAAAAATTATCTTTTTATATAAAAAATGGCAATTTCTGACGTATTAAATTTTACAGAAACCCCAATTATAGATGTAGGAATTGAAAGATATGAATTCCATAAATATGAGCCAATAGCTCATACAAATCTAAATAGGGAAGGAGAAATAAGAATCAACATTGAACAGCAAGATCTGTTTACACTTCCATCTGAAGCTTTTCTCTTGTTTGAAGGAAGATCTCTTAAAGCTGATGGAACTGCTTATGCTAATGCAGATGCAGTTTCACTTACAAACAATGGTATTATGCACTTGTTTAGTCAAATAACATACCAATTATCAAACCAAGAAGTAGAATCAGTTTATCATCCAGGTCAAGCAACTACAATGTTAGGAATGCTCAAATACCCAAATGACTTTCAATTAGCACAAGGATTAAATCAATTGTGGTATAAAGATTCTGCAACAACAGGAGTACTTGCTGATAACTCAAGATTTGCAATAAGACAAGCTTACATAGTTCAGAAACCAACTACAAAAGAAACATTTTCATTTAGCATACCTCTAAAGCACATTTTTGGATTCTGTGAAGATTACAACAAAGTTATTTATGAATTTAAACATACACCAACTCTTGTTAGAAAAAGTGACGATGATGCAATTTTTAGAGTTGCTGCTGTAGCTGCTGGACAAGTTAATTTTGATAAAATATCATTGTTTATACCACATGCTATTCCATCAGATGTAGAAAGAAATAATCTTTATAAAGCTATTGAATCAAAAGTGACACTTCCAGTAACTTTTCGTTCACGACAGTGTGATACTATAACTGTTCTACAATCTACTACATTTACTTGGAGACTGAGTGTAAAAACATCTACTGAAAAACCAAAATATATTATTGTTGGATTCCAAACAAATAAAGATGGAAATCAAGAACTCAATCCTTCAATATTTGATCATTGTGAAAAATATGTATATCATGCTTAATCAAGAAAGATATCCTGCTGTTGATTATAATTTATCATTCTCAAATCAACAATTTTCAAGAGCTTATAGAGATGCATCTACGTTTAGTGAAAAATTTTATGGAATGAATGAACTGATCACACAAAGCAAAATAACTCCTGCTGACTATAAAGATTTATACCCACTTATGGTTTTTGATGTGAGTAAGCAATCAGAAAGATTAAAATCATCAGTAGTAGATGTTCAAATTAAAGCAACATTTAATGCAGCTGTTCCAGCAGGTACCGAAGCATTGGCTGTTTTAATATCTGATAGAATGATGCAATTTCAATCAGGCAGAAATAAAATGAACATTGTATATTAATAACTTGATAAATAAAAAAGTACAACAATTTAAACTATTTGAAAATTAGTTAAATAATTTTCTTGCATATATAAAAAGAATGGAAAATGAAATGCAAAACGAATTGTATAAAGAAAAATGTAAAATTTCTTAAAAAACAATAAAAGAATTAAAATTAGAATTAAAATTAAAAAAGAAAGACTATTAGATTTAAGATATGAAGAAGATGAGATCGAAATTAGATTAAACCAAATAAAAGAATTAATTTCATTTTTTGATGATGTAATGTTTGAAGAAAGTATAGATGATGAAGTAGAATTAAATTCATTAAATTCAAAAAGATTAATCTTAGAAAATAGATTAGAAAAAATAGCAGACTTGAAGAATTAGAATTAAGATTAGAAGAATTAAAATTAGAGCTATTAGTAGGGGAGAAAATATTAAAAGAAGAAATGAAAAAATGCGGAATAAAAGATAGATTTAGATTAATGTCATATTTATTATTTAATGTAAAAGTATCAGAAATTGAACATTATGATAGAGAATTAAAAAAAATAACATGTTTAGAAACTGTTAAAAAAAAAATTGGATCAATTAAGATTTGAAGAAGAAGTGTTAGAAGATTTAGAAGAAAGATTTAATTCAAGATCAGAATTAGTATTTGATCTAGAAAGAATGAATCAATTACAAAATATAGTAGGAGTGTGTGGTGGAAACGGATATAAAAAAGAAGATTTAGAAAGTTTAGAAGAATTATTAATTGGAAATAAAAAAATATTATTAAAAAAATTAGAAGATTATGAAAAAGAATCAGAAGAAGTAATTAAAACTGTATTCCATAAAATTGAAATAGTAATTTTAGAACTAATAAAATCGTTATCAGAAAATATTCGTTATCAGAAAATATTACAATTATAAAATTATAAATTAGCTCGGCCTGACAATTATAAAATTAATAAAAAATTAAAACTTAAACAAAAAGATTGTGAAGAGTTAGAAGGATCAGAAGAAGAACTAGAAGATTTTGAAAAAAGATTTGAAAGAACATGACAATAAATAAGAATTAATAGAATTATTTAAAAAAAGATTAAACGTAACAATAATAAACTTAAATAAATTAAGAATAATAATAAAAAAATTAAAACAAAAACAAAAAGATTACGAAGAGTTAGAAGAAAGAATAGAAGCAATAAAATTGGAAAACGATTAAAAACTAGTAGTAGAAGCAGGATTAGAATTAAGAAGATGAGAAAGAAGATTTGTAAATGTTTAAAAATGTTATATTTTTAAACAAATACAAGAAAAACATAACAATTTAAATTATTTGAAAGTAATTTAAATTAATTTTCTTTATTATATAAAAATGAGTGATAAAATAAAATATACAAAAAAGTATTTATTAAAACTACTAAAATAAGATAAAATACAACAAACATCTAAAGATCACATTGCATTAGTTATGATTGCTATGGATAATAATTTAATTGATAAAGAATCTATACAATTAAATATCATTACTAAAAAACCAAAAAAAACAAAGATTGAAAAAGTAAAAAAAGTTAAAAAAGAAAAAGTAGATAAAAAACCAGAAGGCCGAGAAAATATCCAATAAAAGAGTAAAAAGAAAGAGATCCTAAATATTACAGACTGACAAAAATTACAACAAATCCAGCATCTATTAAGCTAACTAATGTAGAAACAGGAGAAGTTTAAATATACAATTCTATATATGATTATATCAGAAAGGAAAAACATGGATATAGTTATTTAGAGTGGCATAATGAAAAAGTTAAAAATGGTATAAAAATAGAAGCAATAAATTCTAAAAAAGATGATGAAAAAGAAAATGTAGAACAATTTCTTTTAAAAAATTATTTTTATAAACTTTTTATATCTATAAAAAAGAAATTTTTTAGTTTTTTTTATTTTAATTTTTTTACAAAGAAATTTTTTTACAAAGAAAAAATGAAGTATTGAAAATGAGATAAATAATTTTCTTTTGTATATAAAATGGCAAATATTACTAATAGATTTTTTAATAAAATCAATTCATTAGCAAATTGGGTTATGTCATATATTCCTAATCCTATTAAAGAAAATGCTACTACGCAAATTAATACATTAAAATCTACAGTTTCTAATTTGTATGAAAAAGTAGGATTTAAAAGTGAACATGTTAAAAAACCTAAAAAAGAATCTAAAAAAGAAAAGAAGAGAGAAAAGAAACAAATAGAATTTAAATTGACACAATCAGCTATTAAAAATGTGACAAAGCAATTTTCAGCTAAAGGTGTTAAAGAATATGATGCTTTATCCTTTATACAATCAGCTAAAAATAATATCATTCAAATACTAAATAGCAATAAAGGATCAAAGATCTATATCGTTCTTTCGTGTGAAATGAAGCGTGATCTTAAAACAGGAGAAACTATAACAACTATTGCATCATTTTCAACAAAAGCAGAAGTTGTTATAAAATCAACAGATTTAAATGAACTCTATGAAAGAGCTAAAAATAAAATTTTAGAGTTATTATTTATATTTCAACAATTAGGATCAAGTTGGAGATTTGTATCAGTTGAAAAGATGGATATGAATATGATCAAATATAAACCTATTAAAGGTAAATCTTACTTTCCTCTTCCTAAAGAGTTAGCAGCTAAAAAAGCAATCATTAATATTAAAAATAAAGACAATAAATGCTTTAAGTGGTGTGTTGCTCAATTTTTTAATACTAAAGAAAAAAATTCTGAAAGAGTAGATAAAGATCTAAAAGAACAAGCTAATAAATTAAATTAAGAAAAAATAGAATTCCCAGTGTCACTCCATCAAATTACTCAATTTGAGAAAAATAATCAAAACATAAGTGTTAATGCATTTAGATACGAAAGTTCAGTTTATCCTTTACGAATATCTGAAAATAAAAACAGACAACGTCAAATAGATTTATTACTCATTTCAAATGATGAAACTAATCATTATTGCTTAATAAAAAGTTTAAGCAGATTACTTTCATCACAAACATCTAGCCATAAATGTACTGTACACTATTGTAGAAATTTCTTATTAGTATTTAATACTGAAGAATGTCTATCTAAGCACAAATCTTATTGTGACACTCGTAATTCAGTGCGTATTGAACTTCCAAAACCTAACACAATTATGAAGTTTAATTATTTTAAAAAATCTACGAGAGTACCCTTTGTAGTCTTTGCTGACTTTGAAAGTATTATTACACCTATCAACACTTGTACACCCAATCTAAATGACTCCTATACAAAACAATATCAAAGGCATACACCAAGTTCATTTTGTTACTATATCAAATGTTTTGATGCAAGTGAATATAAAAGTAAACCAGTCACATTCACAGCAAATAGTGAAGAAGATGATGTTGCACAAATTTTTGTTGATAGATTAGAAGCAGATATTAAGAAGATATACAACACTTATTTAAAATTTCCGAAAAAGATGATATTTACACCTGAAGACAAAGAAAATTTTAATAATGCAAAAGTATGTCACATTTGTGAAGAATTATTAAAAGAAGATAAAATAAGAGATCATTGTCATATTACTGGTAAATATAGAGGAGCTGTTCATAAAGATTGTAACTTACAATTTAAATTTCCAAAATTCATTCCAGTACTATTTCATAATTTAACTGGTTATGATTCTCACTTGTTCATAAAGAAATTGTCAGAAGGAAAATTAAATTGCATTCCTAATAATGAAGAAAAGTATATCAGCTTTTCTAAAGAAATTAAAGTTAGTGAATTTACTAATAAAGAAAATGAGTTTAGATAGCTAAGAATCTAAAAAATCTAAGATTTAAAAAAATCTAAAAAATCTAAGAATCTAAAAAAAGATCAAGGTAAAAATATTGGAAAATTATATTCAGGTAGTAAACTAGATTTATTATAAAGAAAAGGTGTTTATCCTTATGAATGGGTTGATTCTATTAGTAAATTAAATGAAACACAATTACCATCAAAAGAATTATTTTATTCAAGATTAAATGATGAAAATATTAGTGATGAAGATTACTCACATGCACAAACTGCATGGAAAGAGTTTAATTGTAAAACCTTTAGATATTATCATAATTTATACAATGTTTCAGATGTAACTTCATGTATATTTGAAGTAGATTTAGAATATCCTGAAAATCTACATGATGCTCATAATGATTATCCACTTGCTCCTGAGAGATTAAAAATTGACAAAGTTGAAAAACTAGTACCCAATTTGAATCACAAGAAAAATTATATCATTCATTATGAAAATTTGAAATTTTATGAAAGATTAGGATTGAAATTGACTAAAATTCATAGAGGAATAAAGTTTGAAGAGAGCGCATGGCTAAGTAAGTACATTGAGCTCAATACAAATTTAAGAACAAAAGCTACTAATGACTTTGAAAAAGACTTTTTTAAACTCATGATCAATTCTGTATTTGGAAAAACAATGGAGAACACTGAAAACAGAGTTGATGTCAGGTTAATCACTAAAAGAGAAGAAGCTATTAAATTAGCATCTAAACCAAACTATGAAAGTAGGACTATATATGATGAAAACTTAATAGCTATTCATATGGAAAGAACAGAACTCATTTATAACAAACCCATTTACTTGGGAATGTGCATCCTAGATTTAAGTAAGACATTAATGTTTGAAT